AATCTTGTCAAATTCAGCCATTCAGTATTATCAACCCATAATTACCATAACAATTATTACAAAGATAGCTAGCATTCCCAAAATGACTCCATGTTTGGAAAATGACATTAATATTTAAGTCAATTTAAGCAATATCTACAACTTTACAGTATTGAAATTTGTACTCCAAGAATATTTATTTAATCCTTATTATTTTGTTTCAAGAATCAGGAATTCAAGGCTGCATCTGTTATAGTGGGAGTAGGCAGGGCTCCATGAGATCTAGTACTTTCAATGTTTTCTTTCTTTTATCAAAATTGTTTCAGTTGCTCCAGGCCCTTTACACTTTCAGATCCACTTAAACCCATATTGTTGGTTTATAAAAGGGAGGCTGTTAAAATTTTTACCTGTATATTTTTGAATATTTAAGTCAATTTAAGCAATATCTACAACTTTACAGTATTGAAATTTATTTTCTCTATATATCTTTAACGTATTTTGGTATTATCTCAAGAATTTCATATTTGTGATACTTCTGTGGATAATATGATTTATTGGAATCCCTTGATTCATGATATTACATGTTATTACATGGTAACACAATTAAAGATTGAGTATTATCTTCTTTATTGTGATCCTGCTAATTGATTATTAATTATAATAAATTTTATGCATTCCTTATGATTTCCGATAATCAAAAACATCTTACTGTCAGCTAATGAATCATTTTCTCTATCTTTCCCAGCCAAAACATTTTTAAAATTGCATTTTCTCAGTGCTGTCATTTATATTACAAAATAGCAGTGACATGGACCTCATAACTCTGTAATTAACAGTTTGGCAAATGTGTTCTGACTTTCCTCATCAAAGAAACTATTAGCTGAAGGTATTTTTAAATTTTTTCATTGAAGAATTCTTTATTATTCCTACTATAGTACAAGTTTCTGCCTCCACTGAAAGTGTTTTCTTCCAGAAAATAGCACAATAATAGTCTAGAGAATATTTTTTCCTGACTTAGAGTTTCTCTCTCTCTCTGTCTCTGTCTCTCTCTCTCTTTCTCTTTTTTTGAGACTAGTCACTGTGTCTTAATTTGAAAAATCTCATTAAAATGAAGTTTGTAAAGTATAAATAAATAACATTTTTTCTATTTTTATCACATCTTTATTAGCCTATAATAAAATTATACCCCCTGACTGAGTATATGGGCTCCAGTGGGGATGGGGGCCTATGGGAGGGTGCCAGTGAGGATGGGGGTATAAAGATGATTAAGATTGTTTGAGCTGTTTTATATGAAATACACAAAAATTCAATAAGAAATTTAAAAAATTACATCCCCCATACATAATTGCAATGAAAAAGATCTATATTGTCTATAAATATTCAATAACTAAACATGATTTTAATACTCTATGAGATGAAAATTTAGAACTTGTGTAATAGACATGGACCATGGATATAGGCCACAGAAAATAACATTTAGAATTTAAATACTTATATCACATATGGTTATTCTTCTGTCATATTGAAGACATACACTAAATATCAGAGAATCTATGTCCTACCCTGCCTTTATTTTATGAAGTTCATATCTCATGGCAAGTAACAGCAAGACCTTGAATCTCACAGAAAAAAGACATGAACTCTTTATTTTATTATTTAGAAAGCTTTTAGATTTATTTTGTGTATATGAATGCGTTCTAGTTTGCCCTCAATTGCCGTGACAAAACACTCTAACAAATACCAACATGGGGAGAAAAGGGTTTATTCAGCTTACATTTCCTGGGTCACTTTTGATCACTGAGGGAGCCCAAGATAGGAACTCAGGGCAGTAACCTAGAGGCAGAAGCTGGAGCAGAGGCCATGGACGAATGCTGTTTGCTGGCTTACTTTCCTGGCCTGTGATCAACTTGTTTTCTTATACAATTCAGGATCACCTGTCCAGGGGTAACACCACCCACAGTGGGCTGAGCCCAACAAATCAGTTAACAATCAAGTACATAAACCACAGACATGGCCACAGGCCAGTCAATGGAAGCAATTCCCCAATTGAGGCTCCCCCTACCCAGGTGTGTCAAGTTGACACCTAAAGCTATCAGACATAGAATGTTTTTCTTGCCTGCGTGTATGACTACCACATAACTTCCTATTGCAGTAATGGATGTTTGAAATCTTCCATGCTACTTATATATAGGGACCAAACCCCTGCCTTCTGCAATGATGGCAAGTGCTCTTAACCACTGAGCCATCCTTTCAGTCCCTGAATGAATTCTTGCACATTGAGAAAAACTAGGTCCATTATAATATGGACCACAGCATGTGCATGTCTTATACCATATTTAAAGCAGCTCCTTGCTAACACTGAGGACATAATATAAAGGACATAATATAAAGCGTCTTTCCCATGGCTTTCATCAAGTTCAACTTGAGACAGCAAAATCTCAGATGCCACTTGAAGGTAAGTATGATCCAGAATCACCAAAGTCTATAGATTTGTTCAAAACTATGTCTAAGTTTGATGATATTCTAGTTTGCTTTCTGTTGCTGTGATAAAAACATTCTTACCAAAAGCAATTTCAAACAGTGGGAAAGAGTTTATTTAGCTTAAGCTTCCAGGCCACAATCTATGATTGAAAGAGGTCAGGACTGGAACTGAAGCAGGAGCTGACGTAGAAGCCGTGGAGGAATGCTGTTTACTGACTGAGGCCTGGAATTTTTGTGAATTTCATAAAATATATTTGGATCCTATTTAGAGCCTCTCCCCTATTTGAACCCCTGCTATAGCCACCCTTCACCAGATTTTATGTACTCTACCATATATACTAAGGCCTACGGAGTCAAGTTTGCATTCCCAAATGTCCTTTAGTATGGATCCATCCACTGGAACATGGTCAACCTATTTAGCATCACACAAAGAAAACCAATTATCCATCTTCCAGTAGTTGCCAATAGTTCCTCAGTTAAGCTTGGAATTTCTTCCCCATTTCTGTACTGGGATTTTGTATGGCCTGAACTTGTATAGGTCTTGTGTATGCTGTTACCATTGTTTTAAGTTCATATGAGTAATTTCCCAGCTGTCTGAAAAACTGTTTTCCTTCGGTAATTCACCATGTCTGCCTCTTATAATCTTTCTGCTTCCTCTTCTATTACTATATGTGTCCTATTCAGGGATAAGCACTCTAGAGTCTCTTAAATTCTGCACTCTGGTCAGTTGTGGCTTTCAAGGTTAATAATCATCTATTGCATGAGGAAGCCTCACTGATGAGAACTGAGAGGTGCATTAATGTTCTTTCTGTCCCCTGTTCCACTATGTTCCCTGAGCTTCAGATGTAGAGGTTGCATTGTAGATGTGTTGCTTAGGGCTGGGTACCTCACAGATACTCATTCTCTGGATTTGACCAGTTGTGGAATTTTGTAACAGTCTCTTTTGTAATTTGCTGCAAAAAAGAAGCTTCTTTGATAAGTGGTGAGAGGAATACTTGTCTGTAAATATAAGGACACATATTTAGCACATAGTTAGAAATTACTTTGGTCTAGAGGTGTGAAAAAAGTAGGTTTTCTCTAGGATCTATGACTTCTCCAGTCATGTGTTTTTGTTTATATTTATATTACATGAGCTTCCTCCCATTGAGTGAGCTGTAAGTCCAATTAGACACTCAAGATAAAAGTGTCCTTACAGTACCAGTAGAGATGTTTTTGCTGGTACTGGGCTGATCATGTTGGGGTTCTTAGACTTTACAGCTGATGGGATTATTGATTGATTTTTCTGCCATGGAAGTTTGCATAGTATCTTCTGATACTATGAAAGCTAGTCACTAGTCTTCAGGGAGAAGGCTTCCAGGTCAGTTCCAACTCTGTTGTTTCAAGTCCTGTTTCCAAAGTATGATGCAGCCTTGATCCAACCTCACCCCCACCACAGACACACAGAAACAAACAGACACATAGACACAGACACACAGACACACACACATCATTAAGCTCTTAGCACTAATGGTTTTCCAGCCCAACATTCATTTCTGTTGGTATTTCTATTGCTATGATAAAACACTCTGGCCAAAAGCAACTTGAAAAGGCTAGACTTTGTTTATCTTAGACTTCCACAAGACAAGATACCATTCAGTAATATTAGGGCAGAAAAATCAGAAATCATGAAAGAATGATGTTTCCTGGCTCTCTCCCTGGCTCATGCACAGTATTCTTGTGTACAGACTTAGGGATGGTGATGTCCACAGTGGCTAGGCCCTTCTACATCAATTATTTAACAAAACAGTCTTAAATATGTCTATGACCACAGGCTGTTCTGATCTAGGAAATTCCTGAACTGGAATTCCCTCTTCCCAGGTGATTCTAGGTTGTACCAAGTTAACAATAAAAACTAGCCAACACAGATGACATATTTTAGTCTGTGAAGATAGTGTAGAAATTTGGAATTTCTCTAGCGAGTACTATTTTACAAATATATGCACTGCCACCTAGCTTATGGTATTTTAAGCAGATTTTAAATAAAGGAACAGGAATTACAATTCTCAAAAGCATTTGAAACAAAAGAAAACATAATTTTTACGATAAAGAACAGAAAGCAATCTATTTAGTTCACTGCAGTACAAATAATCTGTTACTGACTCATGAGAAGTTCATATAAATTTGTGAAAGGAATGGATGAGCTGGCCATAAAACGAGTTTCACTGGGAACTGAGTAGAAGAAAATCTTCACATACATCTATCAGAAAACAAGGAAGGAAAGAAGGAGGGATGGAAGAAAAGGAAGAAAGCAAAAAACCAAGCAGCTAAGCAACACACACACAATTCATCTCAAGAGCTGCAAATGCTACAAATATCTGTGTAGATATTCTCACAGTAAAACCCACATTTCAGCTCTAAAAATCATTTTTCAGGTGATTGTTTTGAATAGCCTTGTATAGGTCTAAGAATAATCTGGTTTATGAATAGAAATTACTATTTACCTGTTAGTGATAGCTATTTGTAATCACTCTCTATTTCCCTTTAAAATAAAGTATCCTATGGTACTTGCTTTGCATTACATATATTGATTGGAACAATATAGAGAAGATTAGCATGCCCCTACTCAGGATGATGTGCAAATTCATGAAACATTCCATATGTTAAAATAAAACAAGGTATGTTGATCCTATATGTTCAAAAAAGCTGAGAAGATCTTATAAACATTTTATATGAATTTTATGATGGAATAAATAACATATCATACAACAAAAGCATAATGTACCCTGTGTGTTTCCAGACATCAGAAATACAGGCGTGAATAAACCATGGGTTTTGCACTCAATATGTTTTCACTGTAGTGAGGAAACAGATAAGTAAATATAAAAATACAATGGAATATTCATGCTCAAGTATGGATGAGAGCACAGAGAACAGAGCATCTAACTCTGGAATTGAAGATAAAATTAAAATTTCCACAATGGTAATGGCATTTGAGATGAGTTGCAAAGGATAAATACCAGCTCTTAGTTGAACTGTAATGGAATGGCATTCTAGACTGAAGGAGAAGAGTCTGTAAGGGTATATATCAAACCGAGGCATAAAATGAAGTTTATGAAAACTTCTGTGAAACTTATCAGTGTGCATGCAGAATATAGAGTCAGGTATTTGGAAAAGAAAAATAGAAATCTAAACTTTCCAGTCAATCCAATGATTATAACTCTCAGAGTTCCAGTGAACTCATGAATATAGTAATAGTAATAGTATTAACAATGATAATTTCTATTTTGCTTCTTTAAATGGTTACTGAATGTCAGCTATTTGAATCTTCATGATCATCATTCATTTATAGCCTAGAAAACCTCAACTCCAAGACATTAAGTAATATGCTCAGCAGTTAGTAACAAGTGGTACAGAAAGTGATTAAATCTATGTCCTATTTGTTAACTGTATCACTGAGTTGCATGTAAGCAAGTAAATTATCTGCTATCACTGTTTTTCTTCACCCAAAGTTTATTAATTATGATAAAAACTAAAGTGAAAGTTTACTATGATCTAATAAGAGAATGTAACAGAAAGGTCTTGTAAGTAGCAATGTGCAAAATGCCTTAGAATGAAACAAATGAAGAATATTCTTGAGAGTCAGCCTATTTTGAATGTCAATGATGATCAGAACAGGGAAATTCAACGAAGCCAACTTTGTGTTTCTTGAGCAATTTATTGATTTACAGTGCTGAGCCACAGCACAGTGTATTCATGGCAAAATTTTCCATAGTTTGTATTCTAGAATGTAATGCCCACACAGCATGTCTAGGTTTAATTTCTGGGAATTCATAGAGGAGTGTCAGGGATAACTGGCTCCTGATAACATTGTTTGACTATGCAAACACTTTAATTTTGACTTCTTGTTATAAACAATCACTTGCTATGTATGATTTAAATCACATTCGATTCTAGTTTATTCCTACTGTTAGTCCAGAGCCTTCTTAATGATAGAACACCACAGATAGTTTCCACTGCTAGTGACTGAATGTTGCTGAATCTCACAGAACACTCAGAGCAAACAATTTTTGCTTTATGATCATTTGGTATTTCTGCCTCTAGTTTGATCTAATATTGCAAAAGTCATGTGTGTTCTGTGAATATTATTATATTATTTTTAGAGCAGTAAAACTAAAACACACACCACAAAACCTTTTAAAATTCAACTTTTTTCATGAGTGGAGACATGCAGGAGATTTCATTTTTGTTATACTATCTACTACATAAAATTTAAACCTGAAATAATTAGAGATCTCTGAAAGTTGGGCTGTAAGGGGGCACACAGGCAGGGGTTGTGGAACTAAAAGGGATGAATACTTGAGTTTCTTGTGTTTTCTGTTTTGCTTTCTTTATCCTAATCATGAAGGAGAGGAAGCTGGCATACAGGTTTAAAATTGTGATAAATTTTATGATGTCTGAAAGATGTTCAATTTAAATATAATAATATATGTGAGCTCGTGGCACACTGATATTAGATTCATATATCATGAAAATAACTAACTCAAAGTGAGAATGTCTAAATTATCAGAACTGATAGATTTAGGAGGGAATAAAATGACTACTGACAAAAAATTAACAACAATAAAACTATCATTCCTTGAAGAACATTTAATTATCCTATTTGTCTCTCTTCTTTTTAAAATGTGGATTTTTATTTATTTCATTGCTAGAAATAAAACTCAGTTCCTTTAGCATGATAGGAAAGTGGCCTACCACTGAGCTAAACCACACACTTCCATTTCTTTATGTATGGAGCAGTATGATACAAACATGGAAACAAAAGGCAATGGAGCTTCAAGCTTGACGCAATAAATCCAAAGTTGGAGTTTTCAACACATTTCTTTCAACAATTCATACATAGTTAGACACCAGTAAAGACAAAGAAGACCCAAACAACACCATCACCCTATGTGATTCTGTGAACTTTCATAGAATAGTGCACAAACAAAAGGAGAATGCACACTTTCTTAAAGTGCCAACAAACATGCAAAACACCTTTTCTTCTTCCATAAGAGAAACCTCAGTAAAATGACAATCATAGAAATAATGTTCTTAGACCTTAATGGAATCAATATAGAAATAATTAAGAGAATAAAAACAGAAAACATTTTAAAAATTCAGACAATAGGATTTTAAACAATCTATAGACAAGATGGGAAGTCAGTGAAAAGGAAAGAGGTTCAACATCTTTGATTATTCGGGAAATTCAAATAAAGACTACCATCAATATTGATGTACAAATATCACAGTCGAAAAAGGAATGCTGGTAAAGATGGGAAGAAGTGGAATCACTCATGCATTCCCATGGAGAACATAAAATGGTACAACTTTCTAGGAAATAATTTGGGAGCCTTTTATGAACCAGAAACACACATACTGTATGTCTAAACACTGATCAATTATGCTCGTAGGATGGTATCTTAGACAAGCAGGACTAAATTCACATAATAACCTGTACAAAACCTTTAATAAGTCATTCAGCCTTGTAGAATCTTTAATGGAGATATAGTCTTGATATAGTCACCCCCTCCCCTGGGAATTTCAGTTTACATTCCTAACTCTAAACCATCCATATTTATTAAAATCTTAGTAATTAACCTGTAGTAACTCCATGTATTGGAGTTCTGCTAAGCAATGTAAAGAAGAGAATTTAGTGGATATGTATGACTTTCCAGAGAATTAGTGAAACTGAAAATCCCACAAGTTTACATTTTGAATGGCTATTTCATTGGATACTGTCTAGTGAATGGTCTTGAATTTAAAACATATATGGGATTGGAGAGGAGATTACTGGTTGTTATGGGTAAGTTCTGAATAGGCCATATTATGGTTTGGGTCTTGAGTGCAACTGAAAGTCCATGTGTTAAAGGATTGAGCCTCAAGTTGGTGCAAATGAAAGATGTACATGTTTTACTGTGCTCTGAAATTAAGCTATTCGGGAAGTTAGGTGGAAGATGAATGGGGCTTATTTGCATCAGTTCATACAACTATATTCCAATCTGCAATTTCTCAACTAAAAAAAATACTTTTAAGAACTACCCTAAATGGATCATGAGTTAAGAAACAATATGAATGGTCTTGTCCCCTTTGGACTATGTAGTTCTAGTGTTTAATACAATTTTCCTTGAATGTCAGTGGCAAATTTGAATTACAACTTGAATCTTCTACCTTCTTTAATTCTCTTTTGAAATTATATGAGAACAATTGGTGGGCTGAATAATGGAATGGATGTTCAGTGACAACAATAAAAAAGGAAAAAATAGCAAAACAGCTGAGCTAAGGAACAGGCTTAAAATAGGAATTTAAAGAAATGGAAGATCGAGGGAAAAACAAGAGAGAAGTAATGAAGGGAAGAGGGGGAGCACAAAATCAAGATCTGCATAAATGTTGAATGAGTAAATGCTGAAAATGAGTATTTTTAAATGAAATTTTTAAATATAATAGCATCCTTAACATGGAATTCCAGGTGGGATATTGTGGCCCCTGTAGGGATTAGAATTAATAAGTGAAATTTAGAAGACATCATTTACAATTCATACCAACTTAGATATTTGAGTATCTAAAAATCTGTTTCTGTTTCTTCTGTACTTTGTGTTGTGCTATCCATAAAATACATTTTATACATTATGTACCTAATAACATAATTCTATGATTTCTATTTTTGAATTTTTCATTTACATCGAAAATGAAATTTTGAAGAGTTAAAGACAATAATACATTTATACTACTTTTATATTTTCCTGCTCATTTTTGTCTATATTTCACATTAATTGAAATCCCTTGTTTCCTCATGAGTCAAGACTCTCTTTAGTGTTCTTTATTTTCAGCATGAAGGTGAATCATTAGCACATTTTCATAAGAAATCAATTTATCAATAATTGATTTATTAGTTATTGTTTATATTGGAATTTCTTAGTTTGACATCAATTTTTGATGGATTATTTCATAGAATTCTTGGTTGTTTTTTTTCTTCTTTTCTTTTCTTTTCTTTCTTTTTAAAAGTATTTTCAACATGTCATATATTCATTGTGGTCTCCAAGGTTTCCAATAAATATATTATTAGTCTTCTTAAGGATTTTTGTCTGTGATGAATTGCTCCTCTATATTCAAAAGTCTGTCTTTTTATTTCAAAAATTTAATTATAATATGTCTAGATGTGGCTTTCTGTGTATTTATCTGAGAGTTCTTTAAGATTTTTTTTGATATTCACATTTATCAGAATTGGAAAATTTTTGGTCACTGTTTTCTTCAAATAGTCTCTAAGATATTCTCCCTGTTTCTCATTATACATGGGATGGTATGTTTAAAGGATCCCATACATCATTTAGACACTTTAGTTTTCTTTAGCTTTTTTTTTTATTTGTTTGTTTTTAATAATTTCAGTTCACCGATGTTTGAATTCATTAATTATTTTAAAAACACTATCTTGATTTATTTAACTTCATTTTATATGGATGAGTATATTGCCTGCATGCACATAAGTGTGTATAATAATGACCATGGAGGCCGGAAGAGGGTGTCAGATTCCCTCGAACTGGAGTTACAGACTGGGAACAGAACCTGGATCCTGTGTAAGAGGAGCTAGTGTTCTTAACCAAGGAGCCATCTCTCCAGTCGGCCCTAC